TGAGAACATTGCTTGAGGCCTGTAATACTACTGAAAAACGAAAATAACAGAGAATATACCAGGCAACTCATTTGATGTTTCTCCTCCTGCATGTGCGAGTCTAAATTAAATGCAAGCTCAGCTAGGAGTTCACTCACTTTGAATTATGGTAATTCTCATTAGCATAACTAAAACATTTCACATGGGCTGCCCCAGTAAGTGCACTGTGATTTATAGTTCAGCCACATGGCCAACATTATCACTGATCAACCTGTCATCCCTTTAAAACATGTACACCCTAATTGGGTGTTCTTGGCTAATCGTTTGCCTGTAATGGTGCTGTAGATTACTCTGTGACAGGAGGAGCCAGAAATGCAGCACAGTGCAGCAACAGCTTTCTCATAGCAAAAACTATATAATGTGTGCTAAACCCTTTTTCATTACACAAAGCATTGCCTCAGAGATTCAGCTTTGGTATAAAAATTTCATAAACGCTGTATCCTTTGCAAGAAAATATGCAGCTTTTGCAAATTAAAGATCTATTATTTGTTTATTTATAAAGAAGTTATAATAGTCAAAACACGACTATTCAAAAGTTTGGAGTCAGTAAGACTTTTCAAATGTTTTTTTTAAAAAGAAGACTCTTCTGCTCATCAAGGCTGAATTTATTTGATCAAAACTGTAATAATGTGAAATATTATTACAATCTGAAATATCTGTTTTCTATTTTAACATATTTTGAAATGTAAGTTATTCCTCTGATGGCAAAGCTGAATTTTCCGCATCATTACTCCAGTCTTCAGTGTCACATGATCCTTCAGAAATCATTCTAATATACTGACTTGCTGCGCAAGAAACATTTCTTATTATTATTAATGTTGAAAACAGATGTGCTGCTTAACAATTTTGAGAAAAATTTATATTTTTTTGTTTTCTTTGTATATATTTAATAACAGAAAGCTCAAAAGAACAGCATTTATTTGAAATGGAAATGTTTTGTAAGATTACAAATGTCTTTAGTGTAGATTTAAAAAAAATTAATGCATCCTTGCTAAATAAATAAATAAATATATATATATATATATATA